TTGATTTTTTCTTTTGAACTACAAAAAGTCCACATGCATTACTTATGTTACAAATATTTTCATGTTACTTCAAATCCTTATAAGCACTACATTTTAAATAAAAAAAAATATCAATGGATATTGCAAAGCGTCGTAAGAGCGATGACTGTCTGCAACCGTATGCACTGTGTTATCTCTGCGTTGTATTCGTATATCTCGACGTTCAAATGCGTCGCCAACCATAACAACTGCAACTTCATTAATAATCGGTGCATTATATCGGCCCGCGTGCTGCCCAGATGGTACTTTGATGACGATTGTATAGTTGTCGTTTAGCAGTCTGTTTGAAACGGTAGTGAACAACTGGACCAACTGGTTATGATTTTTTAAAAACGGTTCTAAAATACCCACAATTTCTTGCTCCTCCATCTGCTCGATATGGTTGTACTGGCAACGTGCGTTTATTTGCTGCTTATCATCACCCATGAAGTAGATTTGCAGAAATTTGGGATCATTATTGGGCATCAGCATTAAAGAACCAATTTGGTGATACACTTGACTCTGAATCTTAAGCGTTGATTGAAAATTGCGACCAATCTCATTCTGAACGATTTTTGTTGTTCCAAATGATGTCATTTGAAAGCACGAATTGAATTTGCGAATTTTACGAAAAAACAATTTAGATTGAGATGTAGCTCCAGCCAATAGTGCTTTCAATGGTTCTAGCGGCGAATTCAATGGTGGCAATACAACTTTTCCAGATACACAGCAGAAACCGGCCGATTCACCTTTGTATTTGAGTGCATGACAGTGTTTGTTCATAGCACCGATTACAATTCGTGAATGTGACGAATAGTCGATATCCGACTCATATTCAAACGCAAGGCGATGAAATGATGCACGTGTCAATGCGCGATACACTTGCAAACGCTGTTTTTCACGTGTTCTGAATGTGTCGGTGACTCGTTGACGGGCCAGTATTTGTATCAATGCATTAGCTGGAAGGCGTTCGTTGTGTTGCTCTTGACTTTCATTAGCACGTGTGATTGTATCCTGGTTTCTTACATTTTCATTGTTTTCTGCCGATCTATTTACCCGACGGTTCTGGAGTAATTGTGAATTCCGAGTCCGTCGACCAATATTTCCTCCTCGTCCACGAAGACGTGGCATTGTTTTTTGTACGTTATTTATATCTTTATATATATAATTCTTCTTTTTTGTGTGTGTTCAAGTCAATTCAAGGATGGTTTAGATTCATAATTTGGTCCACTGGATAACGTTTTTTTAATTATTATACAGTTTTTTGGTATCCATATACATTTATATTAGACCTTTAAAAGTTATTCATGCTTACTTTGATTTGTTTAAAAAGTTTGAACTCTAAAATGAATCTTTCAGCTATCCTGTTGAATTTTTAAATTCGCTGGAATAACTTAAGATTAAAAATTGGCTATCCTATAATTATACTGCGGAATTTAAGTGCACTTAAGCTATGCAACGGCAATTTTACGATTCATTTTAGAGATTTTAAACTTTTTAAACAAATCAAAGTAAGCATGGATAAATTTAAAATTTTTAATATAAATGTATATGGATACCAAAAAATAAAAAATTAATTAAAAAGACATTACACAGTGGGTCAAATTGTGAATCTAAACCTTCCTTGAATCCACTTGAACATACACAAAAAATTTCATCAAAATCGGTTCAGTCGTTTAGGAGAAGTTCACTGTCAACACACGTACAGAAGAATTATATATATAAGATAAAACATATGATAAGTTGTGCATTGCCAGTACTAAAACAGTACTGGGGACCCTGAGATCATATCATGTCTAGAGGCCTTTTTTTAATATTTTGAATACTTCTTTGTATGTAACTTATTTTTAACATAAAGTGTCACATAAACTCTCTGATTTGACATTTCGTTAATCAAAAAAGTTCCCAAAGGCACTAGGGATCCTGAGATCATATCGTGTCTAGCGGTCTTTTTTAATATTTTGAATACTTCATTGTATGTTACTTATTTTTAGCATAAAATTTCACATAAACTTTATGATCTGACATTTCTTTAATCAAAAAAATTCCCAAAGGCACTAATATACGTTATGCTTTTTCGCTCTTCAAATACAAGCAAAGCATAAAATCAACTCGTATGTAATTAGCATTGCAACCAATACATAAACAAAGATGTAAGATATAATACTCATATTTTCTACATTTCCGTTACTTTTTGATCATATTTCATATATAATTATAGTGCTAAATATTTCTAGGGAAAATATAGAACGTATTGCTTCAAATGAAGTGTCTGATGTGTTTAATAAATCTGAAGAGCAGAAAAATTACCATCCTGAAGATTGTTCGCAGCGTGAAAAATTAAAAAACCAACCATCTAAACAATCAAATTCCCGTTTGAAAAAGTGTTGTCCTATAGGAGAAAGTTTAAGCATTTATGGTGAAAATCAGAACAATAATATGTGTGATTCGTCACGGCTGGAATTTAAACCAAATATTATTAATGTAGTGCTATATGATAATTGTATTGAAGACAATGAAATAGAAATATCCTTGCTATATGAAATTGGAAATCCATGTAATACGTAAGTTGAATAAGATTTTTTAATAAAATAATCTATATATGCATTTTACACCTCATAATTTCTTAGATCAATTGTCTATAATAACCTGGATGACATATTTTATGTTTTACAAGATGGTTCATTACTTATTATGGATGAATACGCAAACACTTCATACACAGTTGAGGAAAAATATTGTTTAGACGTAGACAACAGATCAGGAACTACATATGCTTTTATTTGTATTACTCAAGTAGAGGAGCATTTAAAGAGAGGACAAATAATTACTGTAGCAATCTTAATGCTAATATCAATTCCATGTCTTTTATTTCTGGCTTACTTACATTTGAGCATTAAAGAATTAAGGAGTCTGCATGGGCTTTCGTTAAGTTCAATGTCGTTATGTTTAGCGATTGGATATTTTCTTCATTCGTTGGCTCATATATATAGCATTAAATCATTAAATTTGGGATATATTGTGCAATTCTTTGTACTTTCATACTTCTTTTGGTTCTTCTGTCTTTGTTGCAATGTTCTTATTAATATTTGGTAAGATATTCTGATAAATATATTTATAAATATATTTTGTTGTTGCCATAAATAGTTTTTAATATATGCAATTCCATTTTATTGTAATGTCTCTTTAGGATCAAAATTCCAATGAATAAAGGGAATAGTAAAACATTTGTATACAGCAATTTTATTGTGTTTATATTAATATGTTTTACTGGACCCCTTGTTTTGGTAATATTAACAGCACAGAAAGGATTACCAGGAATGCCTTCATACTTTCTTCAAGGTTTAACAGAATGTAAGTAAAATAAATATGTTTTTTGCTATATTCAATATTATGAAATGGAAGATAAAAACTTATAATTAAACGTATATAAAAGAAAAAACAAATGTAATTTTGATTTTGCAAAAGTTATATATTCTGCTCACCATATATTTTAGATGACAACTGTACTTAAAATCACTAATATTACTAATTCTTTTAGAAATTACATATACTGCAAGGCACAAAATTTTGCTTGTTTCAAATTAATAATTTGCCTTTTGTGGTTCTTAGAACAAACTTCTTGGTACACCACACACAGGAACCTTTCTAGTCTTACCGAACATTAGCAAAATTATGGGTAATGCGGTAGCAGATTTGTGTCTGTTTTGCTTGGTATTAGTTGTCAGATACTAAATGATATATTTAATCAGAATCAGTTTTTTTGTGCCAAACTAATAACATAATAGAACTAATCGTGGTTAATATTAGATTCCTATACAACTAATCTCAGAGTTAATACAAACTATGTCCTTTATAATATCTTTCATTAATAATTATATCAAACAGATTGAAACCGATGAAACTAACATGGGTAAGTTCAAGTTTTCGAATTGCCAATCTGAACAGCCTCCTGTAGGAGGTGGTTCCCAAATTGGAAAATACTGCTCTTTTGATTTTCCTAAGTGTCAGACACCTTAGTTGGTTTTTTAAATTGAAGTGCTACTATAAAATTGATCTCAGATCATACTCGCAAAATCTAGAGATTTCTGAAAAACCTATAGAATGAAATGCCCTTACATGATATTTTAATTTTAAAAAAACTTAAAGAAAAAGTAGTACTGAAAAGTATTACTTGCTATAGAAAGCAATTATTAATTACAAATATTTTTGTTGAAAAAAGTTAAAATTACATTTATATAATTCTTTATTATAAATAAATATGGATGTATATATAATGGGTCCTAACATTGTAAGATATATAATTTGTACAATAATTATAATATAAGAATAAAAGAAATTTCTAGTTCTATTATGTATCTACCTATTTCTGATGTTAGATCCGTTACGTGAGTTTTTCCTCGGTAAGTGCAATAACTGGGTATTTGGAACAACCTTGGTTTTTATTAGGTTGCAATAACTGAATATGTACTGTAGTTGTTTTCTAGATTTCTAATTCAGTAGTTAAAATCAAATTTTTTTTAAATTTATGTTCTATCCACTTAATGAATTATTTTTTCTTAAATTCTAGCCATACGTGAATCACAGAGATATTTCATTCCGCCAGTATCAACTTTATTATTTTTGAGCTTTTTAGTATTGGTTATATCATTTTTTGGTTTTCAAAGGATAAAAAAACGGGAGACAACTGTAAGAGAAAAAAAATTTTATTTTACCATTAACACTGAAATTGATGAAGAAAAATATGAAGAAGTGAAGAAAGAGTAAGTATACACATATATTTTTAACAAATTATAGGGTTATTAATTGTTATTAATTGTATTAATTGTTTTAATGATTATTTGTCACAGCGCAAAATGCATTAGTCTGCTAAATTTAATAATGGTGATAACGTGGATGTTAGAAATTGTCACATTTTATTCACCTGGACCGGAGAATTATTTAATATTATTAGAAATGATAAATGGAATTCAAGGAATTTTAATTTCACTTATCTTCCTAGTAGTGCGCCGTAGAAGAACAATAATATTAAGATGGTGGTACGACCGAGGATCTCATAACTTGGAAAATGTAGAATTATCCGAAAATAGTAAATAGAAATATGTATACTATATAATAGTGCCTCAAATGATGTTCGACTTCTTTAGATAACCGGGTATGCTTGCATTCGAACATTTAACACAATGAACTGCGAATTGCTTGAATATATTCTATCACTTTACATTCGAACAATTATTGCTCTGTTTTTGAAAATGACAAAACTTAATTTATTAACTAACTAAATAAACAATAGCAGATTTGTTATTTGAATAGCTCAAAGACCCATATGATCAAATGTGAGTACATGTTAGGTCTTTGGCAATATTTTTATGATCGAATGCGAGTACATATTAGGTCTGTTCCATGAGCTACTAGTAACTCATGGAACATCCATGTTGAAATTTGAAAATGCTACACACACTTTACTCGTACATTATATTTCAAGTAAAATTTGTGTTGATCTGTTAATCAGCTGTTTTGGTTGTTCCATGAAAATCTATGTAAAGAGCGAAATTTGGCACTTCATTTGTGTTACGCTCTTAGTTTTACTACGATTATCTCGTGGAACAAACCATTTGTTTTCGAATTATGTCTGCAAGCAAATATTTGCATACAAATTTTACCAAAGTCTAGGCAGTGTAGACACGCTAGGTAAATTTTTGAATTCGAGTATACACCCAAACTTGCTTCTATATCGCAACGCTCGTACACTTTGAAGTACTACTATGTATGTATATAATATAAAGGTAATAGCATGTATATTAGAATAAATATCATACCTAATTAGATACGTTTGTAATTAAGTAAAAACAGCATTTTTCTAGTTGTTGATTCTTCAATATTTATTTATTATAAAAATATACTGCATTAAATATTTTTGTACTCTAATTAAGTAATTTAAAAAAGCTGAAATTAAATAACAACTAACTTATTTATCAATACAATCAAATCGACTACGAAAATTTTTTAACGAATATTACTTCTCGAATCGGTTTTATATTCGTTTATCTTTATACTGTAGACTATAAATATTTATAAAACTATTAAAACACAGAAGTGTTAATAAATTAAAACCAAAATTTTAAGATATAAGTTGAATTAATTATAATATAAAAAACGAAGTTTATGAACCATTAAATTTAATATATATGCCAATAAAACAATATTTGATTATGCCAATAAAACAATATTTGATTATGAAACAATCATTTATTTTTATGTTTTAATAATTTAATCAATTGTCTTCTAGATTTCATAAATTGTTGACATTCAAAGTGTTTAATTAATTTTATTTTGGAAAATTTTCAATATTTATTTTTATGTTTTAATAATTTAATCAATTGTCTTCTAGATTTCATAAATTGTTGACATTCAAAGTGTTTAATTAATTTTATTTTGGAAAATTTTCATTTAGTACAGTAAGTAAAATGAATTGGGTTTCAGCAAACCATGATCTGGTAAAGTAATAAAAGTAATCAGCAATTCATATTTGTTTGCTGTTTGTGTAATAGTATGTTCCCATTGCTTCATTAAAGCATTACTTGATTTAAGCCACTAATGAAGTTGCAGTACAAAGAAGTTTCGTACTTTCTAAATTAAGGATAATTACACCAAAAACATTTTTTTCTCAAAAGGAAAATGATCAAAATTTGACATATGAAACTTGTAACAATATGTAAATAAACAAAAATCAAGTGATAAGTTTTCAAAAATATTTTTTTTTTAATAAATAAATATTATAAACAAAATTTTTTGCAGTTTTTTTCGTGTTTCACGATCAATTAATTAATTTCTGCTAATAATACAAAATTAAATATTTCTGCTAACATTTGAAATGTAAACAAACAAAACCTGTTTTAGAATTTTTACAGATCATTCTAACACATAACACAACTTATGCTAATGGAAACGATCAAATCTTAATTTGATTAACATTAACTGATTTACTTGCAGTGAAACATGGTGTAAAGCAACCGCAATATTTAAAAGAAAATGCAACCATGAACACTAAAAAGAATCAACGATTTGACAACCAAAGAAGAAGGGAAATAATAATTGATAGAGTATGTTGTGGTTTATTTTAATTTTATTGAAAAAGATATGCTCATGTTAGTAACATTTTTGTTGTATTTCCATTATTAAAAATAAGTGAAAGCTTTAGGTATTTTTTCTGAATTTTCATATATTAAAATTTAAAAAAAAATTTTAAAATAAAAAATGTATCAAAATAATTTTCTAATATTTGTATGAATATAAAAATGGTGTTAATTTTAATAAAATTTAAACTTTAAATAAGTAAGATTATTATTTTAATATTACATTAAAATTCAAAAAACTCAAGATTCGATAAAAAAATAAATTCCTACAAACGATTGATGTCGACTCTAATATTTTAAAAATATTTTGTATATTTTTATAATATAATAATATCTGGTTGAAATAATCGTTGAAATTTCCAAAGAAGGTTCACAATAGACTGTGTATAACTTTGGTGATATTTTTTTCTACAGTCTCTAATATTGGATCCACAAGAGAGTTTTGTTTGTAATTAAAGCAGTCAAAAATTTTAAACTGATATCTAAAATCAAAAAGCAAAAATGTCGATTAAACAAAAAATTATTGTAATTTGATTGTCAGATTTACCATATGTCCGCACTTTTTAACTACTTTCACAAAATAATTACTTTGCACGTATGATACTCTTCTTCTGTCATTCTCATCTCGCAGTAGTGCATAGAGTCTCGACTATTCTTTTATAGCGAACTCTTTTATGCGATTTACTGCTGATGTCATTCCAAGGGTAATTTGCAGCTTCTAATTCTAATTGTATTGATCTTCTTCATGTTCTTGCTTGTGCGCCGACACGTCGACTTCTGCCTTGAGAATTCCATCGAAGTCCTTGACGGGCGATGTTTTCGTTCGATTTGCGGAGCATATGCCCAATCCAACGCCATTTTCGTTTGCAGATTTCAACAGGCGATAAATAGCTTGTATATATGATATATAACAGTTTCGTTATAACTCTATAAAATATATAAAACTATTTACACAAGTTAGTACTGTACAATGAGATGATTTTGTAGAAATTACGATTCAATTCTGTTTTCAGCTGTCAATATTTCCATACACATTTTCCTGATTTTAACTTATTTTGGTGTCGAAATGACTCTAGTGTGAATACAGTATTAAATATTAGCACAAGTTTTGCTAGACAGAAGATGTTTGAGTAAAGTGTGTGTATAATTTCTTCATTTCAACAGAGATGTTACGCTCCCTTTTTAGTTCTACAATAACCGTAATTTTTTTCTTTTAGAGTTCCAAAAAAATACTTGCAACTTACAAAAGGAAACATATGAAGCAACAACAATTTTCTTAAAATCTTTAGAATTAATTTTCACTCGCAAAAATTTTAAGTCTTAAGTTTAAGTGCAGCCAAATTCAAAAATCACTCTATTGTGAATATTTACAAAATTGTGTGCAAGATTCCAGTCATTTATTAAAATCATATAAGCAGAAATAATAACAAATTGCAATATATCAAAGCAATAACATAAAAAATGCTTACCATTGCTCTTTCATTATTTATTTTGTTTTAAATTATTTAATTTTTAGTGTTTATAATTTTTATATTTCATATTGTGTATACCACAAAAAAAAACAAGCATTTAACATATTTTAAAAGTGATGCCAATTTGTTTCAACCAGACCTAATGTTTTTTTTAACAACTCTAAAAGCAAAAATTACGGCTAATATCAAAAAGCTTACGATTTCACGCTGCTGATTGTCATGCTAATTAGCACCCCTTGTAGCACATTTCAACATATTTTTAAAATAAACATTTAAGTTTGCTTAATCATTATTAAATGACCTACTCTGTCATTGGTACAAAATAAAACGAAAATAGAAGAAATATAAAGCAGTTTACTTCTTCAACAGTTGAATGATTTTCAAGCATATAATAAAGTTTTTAATCGAAATATTTCATTTAATATTAATTATCCTCGAACTAGTCGACTAACGTAATGGTCGAACACTTCTATATAATAATAAAGAACAAAAAACGAAAATTCAACCAAAAGTGGGACACATCTCAAAAACTTTTGTTTTTGCATTTTTAATGATACATGTTACAAAAACAGTATCGGTTATTATTATTCGTAAAGTATTCTTTGGTTACTAGCCATGTCAAATGTATAATTTTAATTAAATTTCGATATTCATTTGTAATGATATTTAAAACATATTTTTTGTTTTACATCTTTAAAATAAACATAATAAAAAAAAACCCAAAATAGTTAAATTCTTTTATTATGCTACTCTACAATTTGACGTTTTTAACAATTTCGAATAAAATTCGAATATGATATTCGACAACAGACAAGTTAAGAAGCTCCTCTTCTGCAGTTTAGTATTACTTTTTTTGATATTAAGTTATTTGATTCTATTTTTACAAAGTATTATAGTATATCAAAGGACAAAAAATAAAGTTAAAATTAATAATTATACACATGCGGCATGATTTAAGAATATATATACATCATACTAAAATTACATGATGTACTTGATTTTAAAATGTTTGTGAGTTTCACTTCAAATGTTATGTTGAAAAATACCTATACGCCCGTTCAGTCTTTTCGTGACTATGATATATACAAAATTGGATCGATTTTGTGAATATAAAAAATAAAGTAAAATGGGGTATCGGATTAATAACAATAAATAAAATTCAGTAATATGTAAGAAAACAAAACATTTCTTGGTATTTGTCCATAAAAAAACAAAAATTACAATTTAGTTGAAGAAAAGTTTTACAAATTGGATAATATATATGCACAATCATGACAATCCAAAATAAGTAAAATTTTCTAACTCCTAATATGATGATGCCAAAACAAGGTGATGATGTTAGTAATATCATTGTTCCATCTAGTGAAATTATTAGTGGTAAACCATCAAATATAAAATGTAAAAATGTAGTTAAAAGAGAAATTGATGCTCCTTTAACACATAGAAAATCTGAAAGAAGAAAGTTTGCCCGCGATATATTCCTTGTGTTTGAAGAACAGCCAAGTAGTAGGCGTGTCAAGGGCAGTAACAAAAAACAAGGACGACAAAAATCCAAATTTGGCCATTTAAATGTAGAAGATCCTAATAAAGCGAAGTGTTTGTTGCGCGATATAAAGAATGAACCAAAGTCTTATACAAGTGAGCCTTCTCAAAATAGTGTTAGAAAATCTTTAAAAGACTCTGAACCAATAGAACAACAAGTATCAATACCACAGAGTAACACCGAAATTGTTAAAGATAATCAAAATAATCAACCGGCAAAGGTTAATCCTATTTTTTTATGGGTGAAACAAGATGATACTCGAATAGTTGAAGTCCGCTGTGAAGATTATGATAAACGCAACAGAATACGCATAACAAAAACAACAAATGGATGGAAAGCCATTCCTCGAACAGACCCTGCTTCTTCTAGGATTGTCAAATTTATTCAAGCACCTCTTTTAAAGATCAAACGTGAATTTGATAATCAAGAAATTGAAGGAAATACTAAATTAGATGACAAACAAAATGTTGATATTGGATTATATGAATCAAATGATAGACAGCTGGACTGTCATGCTGAAATTCAGGACAAATCCGTACAACATAAAAGCAAAAAAGCCAAAAAGAAGAAAAAAAATAAAAAGTTGGAAAATAAAAAGAAAAGAGAGAAATGTAAATTCAATAAACCGCTTAAATTAAGTATTGATGAAGAAATTGAACAAGAGCAAGAAAAATTAGAAGAAACCGAATCGTATCAACATTGTTTAACACCGCAAAATTGTTCATCAACGAAAGAAGTCTTAAGGAAAAATAACGAAGTTGTTAAAACATATCAAGAAGATTTACCAAAATTACAATTGTGTCCTAAGACAGGACTATTTTTGCCTCATAATTCCGATAATGTTGAAGACAGTAATAGCTCCAGCACGAATGTGCTCGTTGACTTTATAAATAGTGAAATAGATTGTAATAAAAATAATGAAACGAATATTGCAGAAAATTTGGACGCAGAAACAAAAAATTTGAAAGATTTGCTTGACGATGATGATCTGTTACAACATTGTGGAGATAATGGTAATAGTGATGCTGATTTAATTGATTCATTGGTCAAACGGAGTTGCGAAAATAATTTGATTCAAGAAAATGATGTAATTAGAGAAGCATCAACTGCTAATACCTATATCGGTGAACCACAAGATAATGAGACTGTAGTCGTTGAAACAATGCCACAAATAATAGAAACTGTTACCGACCCGCCAAAATGTTTGTCGTTCAATGAAGCTGGGGAAATTGAAGGTTTAAATGGAGAATTATTCCAATCTAGTAACTACATAGAGACATTTGAAAAAGATGACATCAGAGACATACAAATAGATGCATTGCAATCTGAAAATACCGACATTGGACTTCATTCTCCATTATCTCAGAATAAATCAGAAAGTAACGCTTTATTTGAAAATACACCAAAGGATTTAAGCTATAAAAAGCGTGAAGAAGTATGCCCACCCTCCGAATCTAGAAGTCAGTGTGTTGTGACGTCTAGCTCCGATGTTGTTAAGTCACCTAATCGTGATGATATTCCTGCTATTGAGACGACATCAGACACTATTAAAAACATGATTTTGGAACAATTTATAAAGTTGAATTCATTTAATACAGGTAAACAACAGTCCGAACCAATAGATTTAGGGAAACAGCAACAGTCACCTAATGAAAGCAGTGCGAAGAGCTGTCCTGCATCTTCCAATTATATAGAAACAGTAGTTTTAGATGAAACCGATGATGAACCGGTAAAAAAGCGACTAAGAAATTCGGTAAAAAATAATGGTAATATAAAAGAAAATATGTCAAGTATTGACAAAGATCCAGATCCACTTACGCAGCTACAGTTATTAATTAGAAATACTCAGTGGAAAGTACCGGATCCTATATTAGTACCTAAAGATCGTTTGGGTGCAGTTTTAGCATCACCTGCGCGAGAAATACCACTTTTAATAACAACACGCCCTGAATTAAGGCTACCTGAAGCTTTTGCTTATCCGGAAATAATACAAAATCCAAACATTTTAGTTATTTCAATGGCTCAATTGGAAGCAATCTTAAAGAATGAAAATCATATAGAGAAACCACAATTACAAACGAATTTAAACGAATTTACTCCTGACAATACTAAAAAATTAAATGTACAACAGCAGGAACCTAACATTCTTCAAAAGGAACCAAAAACTTTACAACCAAAAGAATTAAGTACAAAGTGTTCTCTTGCTGACTCAGGCTTAGCCACCGATATAAACGCTGCCACATTGGCTGTTTTAAATCAAATGTTTTGGATACCATATTTTAATCAAATATCACATGAATTTTTGAAATCAGTAAAAGAACCAATTGGAGTGCAAAATAAGTTCAATAATCTTTTACCACTCCTTCACCAACAGCTAGGAATGCAACACTTGGATGAATTGTATAAAAGTTTTGTTAATCAAATATCTGGCTTAAAGCAAATGAATACAGAGGCGTCAACTCAAAACTTCGGTAACTGCATTGGAGGTTTTAAAAATCCAATGGAGTTAGCGATTTTTCAAAAAATCGTACAGCATCAAATGCATAATATCCTAAATACAAGTGTAGATCCATTAGTTCAAGAAAAATCCCAAAAAGATATGCCCAAACAGCAACATGCTTCCAGTGAACATAGTTCGAATGCAGCTCATAATAACATATTAGACGCGAAACGGTGTAAAAAATCCATAATTGAAAATAATCCACTGCCTTCGTTTCATCTTTCAGACCGCAATGGTAACGTTACCATAACTCCTACTTATAAAACTAGTTGCGAAAATACGAATGCTGTTGCAGATAGTTCGATATCACACAATGTGAACTCAAATAAAAACGATACAAATAATAAGCCAAGATTGACATGCAAATCTTTATCGAATCTGTTAGAGCCTGAAAATGTGTCTTCTATTATTTCTTTAGCAAACTATGGTGAATCGGTTAACAAATCGACAGAAAAATCTAAAGACGCTCATGCAGAGGGTACATTTAGAAGTGCAAAAACGAATGCGAACTATCTTAATATTAATTCAAATGAACTGTCTAAACAAAGAAAACGAAATTTCAACATCATGGATGCGGTTACATCAGAAGTGAACGGAAGGAACTCTGACACTGTAAATACAGATACCAATCCAGCTTTATGGCATCCGTTATTTGGAAGGTATTAGTTTTAAATTACCAAATGATTCATATTAATATTTTTTGAATCAATTTTTTATTATATTAAATACTTTGCATCGGAATATTTAACAATAATGTTTATTGCCCTTTAACCTGAACTTTTTTATTTTAACTTTATTTCATGTAAACTTTTCTGCTGTTTAATTGTTTAAATCTTTTGCTTTGTTAAATTAATAAAAGAAACCAATAATTTTTCTAAACTATTTGCAGTAATGCAAAAACCGGATACAGTAGCCCGTGGCAATGGACGACAGTAACAGCAACTGGTGAATGACAACAGAGGGCTCTAAAGGGGCCCGGTACATATCCTAATGGCGTAAATGATAACGTTAATTTTATTGAAAAAATAAATAATACTTATAAAAGCAGTGCTAACAACACAAATGTTGGTAGTAATAAACCCTGCTTTAATTCATCACAGACATCTATACCATCAGTAGAGGGTAATTGTCAAACCAGCCAAATTAGAGAGAACTACATTTCACAACAATTTAAGGAACCAGAGAGATATATGGACCATAACTTTTGGCAACAAAAACAACTACAGGCGAATCACTGGTCGCTTAGTAATAATAATAACCGAAATTATTCGAACAATTATACTCAATTTCCATATGTGAATAACATACATACAAACCAAAGTCCATCTTCAATGTATATGCAGTTAAATCCATATAGAATGGCTTACAATCCTGATAAAAATGGCCTACATATGAATCATTATTTTGATAAGCATAATGTGCGCTTCGGAGATTATGATTGCACTTTGCGTTAATTCATATTACTAATCCTTATATCATTTATCTTTTGAGAAAGATGGCATACATTCAAATAGCACGTAATCATTGTATTTTGCATAATAATATATACACAAATATTTAATATTTTGTTAGACATATAAATGTTCATTATATATTTATATGAATTTAATTAGAAAATTTGTTAAAGAAGTAGTTTGTTATAAAATATTGTTAGTAAATGCTTTGATTTGATTTTAAATTAAAGAGGATCGTGCGATTTGAACTATTTTGAAAAAATACAAAAATCGGATATCGGCCAGAAAATAATAAAAACAAATAAGTCCCATTAAACATTTATTAAAGTGAACAACTTATCATTTTTGGAGAGAATATGATATTTAAACGTTTAATTTTAATTAAGTTGTATGAAATTTACAGTTGACTCTGGCTTGAATCTGAATATTCACCTCATTTCATATTAGAAGTCGGAAGAAGAAAGCATGATTTTATTTATTTAAATATTTTTATAAAGCATATTTACATGTAGTTATATATAATTTATTTTATGTTTTATAACTTTATGCGAATTAAAGCAATCTCCTTTTTTCTGTTATTTGTTGGATAGAAGATCGTTGTAAAAAAATAGAAGAATTTGTTACCCATTAATTAATTTGAATATATTTTATTGTTATTTAAACTTTAAATTCCTATGTTGAATATAAAGCATGCTTATACAAATTCTATTTACGCAGTAAAATATTATGTTTAACCAAAATTTAAATTCGTTCAATCATTTTAAATTTCGCACAATCGACTAAAGCTAAAGCATTCCTTCTGAGACCTTTTGAGAATTTGTGCCAGATTATTATGCCAAATATGCTTTAAGTGAATGTTTAGATACAGTTTATATAAATGAAGCCTCATTCGAATGTATATAGAATTTGTTTTAGTTATGTAATAAAAATATGCTGATTTAGTTTATATAAAACACTTATTTAAAACTAACGTGATCCCTTAAAAATGTTTTGAATTCATTCCATATATGCAAATATAAAATGTTTGTATTTTTAAATATCTATAAACAAATGTGTTAATTATGTGCAATTTTTGTTTTCTTAGTTTTTGTTTTTTTATAAATAATATAAACCATTAAATGTCTTTTATTTTATAATAAAAATTATAAATGCAACAAAATATGCTGTTTACATACTTTTTTCATAATTTTATAACACCAATTAGGATAGAAGATTCACTTTGTTGTAGATAGTGGATTTACTTAGCGAAGTGACTTGGTAACAAAATAATACTGGAAAGTAGTTAACCTATTTAACTTACTTAACCTATTCAGTCTCTACACAATAGCCAATTTTTTTAAGTCTAGATTGTAAGCTTCACTTATACAAGAGTGCTATGAAACGAATTTGGCCATATGGCCTCCAAAATTTTGATAACCACTATCGAACATTGCAATCTTGCAAAGAGCTCAGTTGAAAATATTAATAGCTATAAAACCGACAATGTGCCATATCAGAAACATCGACACTCAAAAAGATCTAGAGAGATAGCAATGGTAAAATCTGAATTAAAAAAATTAAAACAAAATACGTTGAAAAGTCAGAAAACTGCTATTACGATAGAACATTGTCAGACCGACCAATTATAAATCAGTGGCTAAATTAAAAACCATAAATCATATTCATTATTAGCGCTGAACTGTTTGAGTAAGACCCATGGTATATGAATTTGTAATATGTATGTAACTTATTGTTAGTCTTTAATTAAAAGAGAAGTATTGAAAGATAAAGAAGAGCGCCGCAAAAAATATTAACAAATAAATAGCTCGATGCCGCAATTCTTTAATTGACTGCACATAGCAGAGAGAGTAAGCATATGGTATCCAGAATTTTTGGTTTGTTGGTGGTGGATATCCTGAATTCACCGGTGGAAATAGGCATTTTCACGGAAATCTGTTTAGCGAGGAAATAATAAGGATAGCTGCAGATACTTATTTTAGTTAGTGGCGACAATTGAGCAGTTACTTATCTTTATATTTTACGACTTTGACACCCTCTGGGGGTGAACATTGAAGAGGACCAATGAAATAGCATTGCCCTGTGGACGATTGATTTTAATTTATTTGCTTTGATTTATGTCGTGTTCATTTTTTAATATTGCAGAAATATATACATATGTATATTTTTATCCATATGTGTATATGTCAGCATTACTGAGTTTTATGTACAGAAAAAGTAATTCACACTGCCATAATTAAAATGAGCAAATTTTAGAATAAAGAGTAAGTTTTTTTAACATACCCTTAAGATTTAGTGCAAACAGAGAATAATAAATTTTTCATTCCAGCACTCTGATATATTACAAATATTTTTTAATTTTTCAAATTAAATGAATAAATACCGATGAAGTGGAGAAATAAATATGTTAATACACAAATGTAGCTAATCTTTTGCTACAAAACTACGTTACTAGAACATTAATTACAAAATTAAGGTTTTCGAAGGCAAATATATAATTTGGGTCTTTTACTTTTATTTACAGATTTTAATCGAAACCATTAAATGTAGTATATAATAAAGAGTAGAACTATAGTTGAATGCAATTTATTTGAATTATTTCGAATGCAATATATGTAAATGCAACATTATTTTTTAAGAGACAACATTTTTAATGTTTGTTATTTACAACTAATTACTTAAGATCGGATTGTACTGTATTTTCTATATTTGAAATATATATTGCATATGAAGTTAATACAACGGTTTTGTCGTATCCTATAGAACATGATAGTATATATATAAACAAACAAATACTTTTAAAGTACAGATATACATATAATACACAAAATTGAAATTATTTTCAACATGAAATAAAAGAATTCAAATACACTTAATTACATGTATATTTTATTAATAAGCATTCAATATATAAATTCATAATAAAATAATTTATAAAATATATGTTCAACATTTTATTTAATTGCTTTAATGTTATATTTATACAAATATTATGTGTGTATACATAAAAAATTTGGTTAAAATGTAAAAAATAAAGAAGATATACTTTTAAAAACCAAAACTGCTCTTTGCGAATGTTAAGATTATAAATTTTTTAATAATTATCTTTGTGCTTTATATTTTTCAGTCAAACTGACGATAAGCTTCTTGTAACTTGGAGACAACAGTAGAATAAAATTTAATTTGTTCTTCTATGAACGATTTTAATGTCTGTTTGAGGTGAGTATCTCTTTCTTGCTTAAAATGTGTCATTTCTGCCATAACAGCGTAAGATATTACATCAGTTCGGCGGTTCACATCAGCCATCTGCGAATTACTCATTTTCTGGTCGGCTGCTAAACGTTCACATTCTTTTCGTTTCTGCACCGCTTCCTTATGTGTTGATAAAATGTCAGGAAAGCAGTTTAAAACTCCTCTAAATATAACAAATATTTTATTTATATTTCTATTTGAAGAAAAAAATGTTAACCTGTAGATATGTAAGCGATCCGAAAATGGTATCCAATCTAATTTCGGCTGATCACTAAAAATTTGTCCGACCCCAATAAATATTCCTCCTATTCGTCCCACACTTTCTGATAATGCAACGCCTGATTTGGTTGGTGATCGTCTTTCATCTATGCTCAATGCCTTAGCCATATCTGATAACCCATCTCCAATTCGTTGAAATTCCTTTTTACTTTGGATTTGGTAGCGTTTTGCATTGTCTATAAAAATAAGGTTTACACTTTTATACGACATATAATAACTAATCATTTACCACCGCAAATGCCAAGCAAATTTTTGACAGAAGAGTCCATTGCATGAATAAATTGTGAACAGCTATCCATTTGGGCGTCGACATGAGACTGTAGAAGTTGCTTTTCTGGTGGTGATATTGCCCAACAATATGTCACACCTACATAAGGGTCTTTTTCGGCCTTCCTCTTGCCTGATTTCCAGATTTTATCATCAGTACAAGTTAAAAAATGATACCAAACTTCACATTTCGAAAGAACAGGATGACGACACACCCAATCTACGAATTCTTGCAGTTGAACACGCCGATGCTCAACAAATTGTTCCTCATATCTCCCTGATATTTGTTTATCTGGTAACGGAGGAATAGGAATAAGACAGAACTTTTCCACAAGACGTTCATGAAACCAATCAAAATGTTTGTATCTACGAGACACCTGATGTAAAAAGTAATTTTAAAAATTATTTTGTGCACACAATTATAAATATTTCCCTAAATATTTTAAGGATATAATTTAAATAAATAAAAGTTTCATATTTCAGATCCAAAACTTTATTCCTCTTTAACACTTATTCTACTTACCGATATATTATTAAAACTTGGCGTTAGTTGGTAAGCTATAAACTTTTTTATTCCCTTAAATTTTGATTCTTTTTTTGGACTTGCCACAATAACACTATAAGATTGGTTATTTGCTTGCCAGTGATAAAAATTGTCTATTTGCACTATGTATACGATTTCACTTTCCGGTAATTTATCTTTATTGCCAAGCCCTAATATATATGAGTCTGAACTCTTACTAAACATGCTCGATTTTTTAAGTGTTGTAGTATTATTCGTTGCAGCGGTTGATGCTAGCGAAATGCTATCATCTGCTGGTGCAGCAGGTAAGTTTTTATTATCATAACTGCTATTGGAATGTGCCATATTTGATGAGTAACTTTTAGTTGCGTGTCCACCTGGTCCAATTTCCGAATATGTATCGTTGTCATCGTCCCAATCATCTTCCCAATCGTCACCATCGTTGAAGTCATCAGCTGTGTGATCGTACCTGTTGACTGAAGGCTGTGCATCCGAGTTGGTAAGTGATTGGTTTTGTTTTTGTACATCCGCTGCAGACATAACTTCAACATAAGCAGCAGGGAAAAGTCCAATTTCACCTCGATTATTTTTACCCTCCCACCATCCTTCCCCCACGTCTGTACTTGTAACAGCCAAGACCTCACCGACAGTTATAGAAATTTCCGACGAACCGGGTTCCCCAGAGAAATCGTACAAGGCTCGCACATAAGAAGTCATTTAAAATATTAACAACTTAATATTTAAAGAAAATACTAAATAAACGAACAAAAATAAATAGAAAAATCCACAATGTTATTTTTCTCTGATGACAAACTTAAAAGGTGTAGTTATCCAAAGAAAATTATTATCTTATCTGATTCAGTGTTGTAATGTAAGTTTTTCTCTAACTGATGTAGAAAACCCTAGTGGGACAATTTAAAATTCAACTCTGCTAACACTCGCCGTGTAATACTCAAACAGATTATTATTATTATAGTTTGTGGTCACTGTCACAAGCTGAGAGAAAATTGTATTTTTTAGTAATTGCAGAATTATAAATGAATAAGAAGTTGAAATTTAATGTAGGTAATACATCTAATAAGCAAATATGTGTTTTTATATTAACATATTATAATGCTATGTTTAGACAGACCTTAATTTCGTGAAAATCTTAATTTCATCTTCGTTTCAGTGAAATTAAGTTGTTTTTTCCATACAAAATTAAGTTTTGAGGTTAGAACAAAATTAAGAAAATGGCCTTAATTTCGTTGAAATGAAGGCTGAAATGAAGGTACATTTCAAATGCAACTATGCGTAAGATAAATTTCAAGCAAAAGATGACAATTGCCTTTAATAAAACCGGAAAAATATTTTGAAAGCAGTGTAAATTTTCAAATTTGAATATAGAGCAAAAACGGTAACTGTAATTAATTTAAAATAGAATGAAAAATAAAAATTTACATACTTGAAATTTGCTAAAGCTAATAAAACTACTGAATGCCATCCTTTATAGTTATAAAAAACATATGAGTTCCTTAATTTGTGACAGTATGAGCATTTTCGAAATTAACTTAATTTCATTTTTACGAAATTAATGCCTTGTTCAGAGAGCCAAATGAAACTAATACTACGTTTCCACTACGTACTTAGTAAGTCATATAGTAACATTGAGCTTTTTGCGTTTACATTATCATGAGTTACTTAAGGAATAGGAAAGAGCTTTTATGAGTCAAAAAGTTCTAGTTTTAAAGCTTTTCTGTGTTTACATTTTAATTGTAAACAGATGATATTAAATGTTGTATTCCTAGAAGAAAATAAATCAGCAGGAAAGAAAACGCAGCAAATATAAAAGCGGCAGTTTCTGCATATACAAAAAAACAAAAAATTACAAATTATTCAAAATCAAAACATCTTTATTGATAACTAGAAACCAAAGAAAGTGCTGGACTTCTGGTAAATACAGGCAGTAAATATTAATTATTATTAATTTTACTGAGTTGCTATTTTAGATAAAAATGAAATCCGTATGTCGGTTCTGAGAAGACAACAGAGGGCTTCAAAATAAGTTTGAACACTAAACAACCACAATCCAATAGAAAAGAAATAAGGCGGTGTTTGAAACAAATTTTCAGTAAGTTTTATTTTAACTAATAGTTAATAATAACACTAATAACTTATAAACTAAAAATAAAAACAACAAAAAATATATACTTATATATTTTTCATATAATCAGATTTTATATAATTATAAAATTTATAAAAAATTTATTTATATTATTACATTTATAATTTTAATAATTTATAATATATTAAAAATAAAAATACACAAATATAGTCGGTTATCATTGATTTTTCTTTTCTTTGTAGGTGTGTTCTTTTTTGGACTTCAAAGATGTTGACGATAATGTTGACGACGCTGACAGTAACAGTGAGGATGACTATCAGAAATTAATTCGAAGGTGTTGTCAATAGGCAAGTTCTCCAAAATTCTATACACGTTATTGACAAACTTCCACGATGACGGGGGCTCCGTTGAAAATCACAATACATTGCTGATTCTTTCTGTTTCAAAATAAAAAAGAAAAGTTAACATAACATTAACTTTTAAATAAAACATCAAATATTAATCGTAAAAGATTATGTGGTTTTAAATACAAAAAAATAATGATATGATAAAAATTTCACTTATTGAACACTTACCTAAAATGTTGGGTGAAGTGCACTTTTGTTTGCACTTCGGACGCGGTTACTAAAAACCTGTTTCACCTTTTTCATCAAAGAAGATTTTCCTCCCATAGTTTTATGGTTCCACACGCATTACGAGTAATATTTTTTCGTTTTACATTAAACACAATTTCAAATTTATAAATCAAACTTGTGAGATCTCAATTATTGCTTTCCTGATGTTATCCTGAAATAAATAATTTTACTTGCATACAACATTCTTTCATTCTTGCATACAAAAATTCAAGCGCGAATGCGATCCATTTCATCACATTCTGTTTGAATACGTCTCAACGACGTTCGAACGCATTCCAAATATGTTCTAAATATAAAGGAATACATTAAATATACCCTAAATGAAAGCTCTTCATGGCATTTTGACAGTTTGAAAAAGCTGTCTTTGACATATTTACAAAAAAAGGTAAACAAATGTTTGGTGGTTGCATTTCCTTGAAAACGATGCACTTCTTTTTAGAACTTTTACTTCCCAAAAAGTAATTAATCGAAGTTAAAAATATGTTTTAAGTTTATACTGTAAGGTTTGAAGGCATATTTAACCTTCATGCAAAATATTTTTGGCACAGGCCAAAAATCAAATCAACATGCAAGTTGAAAAATCAGCTGTTTGAAATGAGAACAAATGAAATACAACGAATGTAAACACTTTCAAATAGCTCATTCAAAATGAGCCATTTTCGGCCAGTGTAAACGCCATATTAGTTCTTTACATACATATTTATTTTAAATTGTATATATATACAATTACGTTTATATATAAAATTTATAAAACCTTTAGTTTTTATTTAAAAATTTTGTAAATCCTCTTATTATATATGTATTTATATTATATGATATATATATATAACTTTAAGCAACTTGAAAATATAAACGGTTACTTAAAAGTAACCAATATTTCTTTATATCTCTAACATTCCTAATTCTTTGGCCATAAATATTTTTGGTTAAAACAAGTTTCTTTGCAAAGGAAAAGCAAATGCTTCCTAAAATGTGTTGGTTTTATTTATAAGATTAAATAAATTTTATATGGATATATAAAATAGCAAACGGTTGTAAATGCCTACACATAATTATGGAAGGTAAAAATATGTTAACGCCTTAACAAAATGGGGTCTTATATTTGTTTTTCCAACACAAATATTATATTTGGGCAAAGATGATCGAACAAAAGGACAATGACTTGGTAGCCATTGAAACAGTTCCAAAGGACGATACAGATGGAGCGATGCAATTGAGCGATATCTTTTATACTAGTAAAAAGAAGGATCATGTGTTTAAAGTAAAGTTGAATTCAAGAGGCTTTATTCTACAACGTGAAACTGTGAATGGAAGCAAGGAACAATTAATTAACATAAGTGATATTGTGGGAGGGCGGTGTGGTTTACAGAAATCAAAACGCTCTTCAAAGTGCTCTTGCAGTTCTTTATCTTCTACTCAGCCTATAACAAGCAGTACTGAAGTAAATTTGTCAGCAGAAGGCGATGTCAGCGCTTTTTTGTATGTATTTGCTTATATTTTGAAGAAAAACATACGAAGTACACTTCGTCGGGCGCGCACTGTACTTACTTTAAGATTCAGATCTTTTGATACTTTTGAAGAAAATATACGAGAAGCAGATCGTTGGTATAAGGCCTTAAAGTTTCATAAAAAACAATCAATTCAAAATACAGTATTATTGAGCGAAAATGGAAGACTGCTCTTTTTACTTAATCCCAAATCAGGATCGGGTAAGGCACGAGAGCATTTTAATCGGTACGTTGTGCCAATCTTAAATGAAGCTGAGATACCATACGATTTGTACATAACGAAAAACTCTAAATATGCTGTCGACTTTGTACGTATGCGTAACATTTCACAATGGTGTGGAATAGTCGCCGTCGGAGGTGATGGGCTTTTACATGAAATAATCAATGGTCTTTTACAAAGATCTGACTGGAATAGTTTGTTCCAACATATCTCAATAGGAGTTATACCATGTGGATCCGGTAATGGGCTTGCTAGGTCTATTGCTAATAGATATAAGTAAGTATATACAACTCAAGTCAATTTGTTAGTTTCAATTGAAATTGTTTCAGAGAACCATATGAACCAAAACCAATATTAAGTGCAGCCTTAACGGTTATTAGTGGGAAAACCAGTCCAATGGATATAGTACAAATAGAACTAAAAAACAAAGTAATAGTAAAGATAAAAATAAAAACAATTATATAAAACATTTTTATATGTTATAGATTATGTACTCATTTCTATCTGTCGGTTGGGGACTCATATCTGATATAGATATAGAAAGTGAACGTCTACGATCTTTAGGATATCAGCGGTTTACAATATGGACCTTACATAGGCTTGTAAGACTACGAACATATCGCGGCAAAGTCGCATATCAAATGAAATATAATAAAAATGATGAACTTTGTTCCATGGAAGAACAAAAAGCAAAACAAAATAATACGAGCTTCAATGCATTTTTAAACAATACAGATTCCAAAAACTTCCAACCTTTTGAATGCAATGGTGATAATGAATTCGATGATGTCATATCATTAGAAACGACCGGTAACCAATCATTCCGCTCGAGATGTGGAAGTTGGTTATCGGCGGGTTCAAGAAAGAGTACCTACTATTCCATTTCTGAGAGTATTTACCGAAGTGTAGCCAGCGATAGTGATTATGAACAAAATAAAATGAATCCAATAAGTGGATCAGAGCAATATTATGGTCCAACTATATCTGGTCCTCATTTAAATGATCCCATTCCAGATAATTGGGAAGTGGAAGAAGGCGAGTTCATTATGGTGCATGCCGTTTATCAATCACATCTTAGCAGTGATTGCTACTTTTCACCTTACAGCAAATTGAATGATGGCACGATATATTTAGTTATTATTCGAAATGGAATAAGTCGATCTCAACTTTTAAATTTTTTAATGAATATGAGTTCTGGAACTCATTTACCAGTTAAAAATAATGAATTCATACATGTTGTGGCAGTTACTGCATTTCGTTTAGAGCCGTCTGGTGGCATTATTACCGTGGATGGAGAATTAGTAGAACTTGGTTCATTGCAGGGTCAAATAATCCCTGGATTGTCAAAAATTATGGTACCAAAATAATATGATTTTTGTCTAGCATTTGCAAATTAATGCATTTCCAGTTAATTTTATACCGAGTGAAAGTTGGGTGGTAGCAATTTCGTCAAGTTCAAAACAACTACAACTTAATATTTTTACAAATTTGAATTTAAAATGGTTTAGTCTTTTTGGCTTAAAGTAAAATACTCATATATTTCTCCATTTATTTGTGATTTATTTACTATAATTCATGTATATATATTAAAATGTAAGTCTTTTATTATATCAATTATTTATAGGGATTCGAATTTAATAAGAAGATTGTTAATTTCTTTAAAAATACAATTGAAAAGTTAAGAAATATTGATTATTAGTAAATAAAACCGTAAATATATAATCATTATAAATAGATAATAAAGAATAAGGAATATTTAAGCTAACATGTATAATAGCATTAAATGTTAGTAACACGGTAATTTTCTGTACAACTTCATTTAAACAAAAAGGAACATTTCGAAGTTAAGTTTTTTTAAATGCAAAATTATGTCGTGTTGTTTGTTTAATAAAATTGATTAACTTCTTTAAATTAATAAATATGATGTTTACTTTTAACTAATTTAGACAATTATTACGAATCGATTTCAATTTGGCGCATATACACATTTGGATAAAAATAGTTTGTATTATTTAAATATCATACTTTGACATATGTATACTGTTTGATGATACCTATTAATAATTTTATTAAGGATAAAATATACAAATTTGTGTATTTATATTAACAAAAAAAAAAAATATATATATTTATAAAATCATAAATTATTCTCCCGACAAAACGAAACCAAGACTAGAGCAAGATAGCCCTTAATATATTTCAATTTCAAGGTTTAAATTAAATACTAAATAATATTTAAAAACATAATTTACAATCCAGATTCAAATGGAAAATGGGATGCTTTAATTACACCTCGGTTGATCGACCGTTTTCATCCGAGCGAGACAATTTACGTTCCCGCCCTGGTATTCGACCAGTAACTAATGTTTGCCCAGATGTATGAGACTGATTCTGCAACTGTGTATGTTGTTGCTGCAACAGTTGTTGCTGCTGCTGTAATTGCTGTTGAACCATTAATTGCTGTTGCATTAGGACTGAATGAGGTTGATGCAAGTTAGGATGACTGTAACCTTGTACACTTCCACCTGTGGCACATGCTCCACCTGGATTTGGCATTGTAGCATTTGGAAGATTGAATCTGATTTTTGCAGCTGCAGCATTAGCAGCAGCTGCAATAACTGCAGCATTTTCTCGTGAAGCACTACTTGTCGTAGTTGACTGAAAAGATATTGACATGCCGCTATCAAGTGAACCTACGCTGCCTCTTCTCTGTGGTTTGTCATTTCCAACTGAAAATAGAATTTATTATAAAATTTAAACTTTATAAAGATAATAAGTACACTTACATTGTTCATGCATATCTAACAAACTGTTACTAAGCGCACTACGCTTAAGTTGTTGTGAAGAATCTGAAGCGCAAGGTATTTGATCTCCTGCTTGAACATTTTGAAATGGGCATGGGCAAACTTCTACATCTGCTACGCCACTATCGCGGTTCTCTGAATTTCCTGTAGCACGATTACGAGCGGATTTCTGCCGTTCCAACTCAGCTTCAATTCGCAATGTCTCCATTTCATCCATTTCACTTATAGACTCTTTAAGATCTTCTGCAAATTTGCAACGATCATGCTCATTCCGAGCATTGAATGTTATTAATATTTTTCCATCCACTTTCTGTGATAGTTGGATACAGAATGGATAATTAGATAAATCAAGCATTGATACAACCATTCCGCAGAGCGGAAAACTGTTACGAAATGTATATGTGACCGATGATTTTTTCTTACTAAATATTTTTGTAATCACTAATAGATCGTTAAATAGAAAAACTTCACGTTGATGAACGCCTGGTCTCTCCTTTTTGTTGACATCAGGTATTTCGTACAAGCGACAATAACAAACCAAACGACGGTGTGGTAAAGCTAAATTCGGCTTTTTACCCACTATAGTGGCTTGAACTTTCATAACCTGTGTGACGTGATCGCTGCCAGGCTTAAATTCATTGGCTTTAACACGTTCATAAATTCCAGAGAGCATATCCTTATCGATATCGTGACAATCATCAATGCCACGCAAATTTTTAATAAAGTCTTCAACACGCATTCGTCGTTCTGGTTTTAAATTTGGGGTATGCAAGTCAGTATTTAACATAATAATTGCAAATGCCAATACAAAGATCTGTTAAAAAAATTTTATTTTAGTGGTCTAATTATTATGATAATGATAATAGCATACGACTTTTAAAATTTTAAAATTATTATTTATAACTTAAACTAATGTGTAGATTTTTTGTGCTTACCGTATCAGATGATCTCAAACGACCAACAATATCCTGATTGCATTGACAATACCGTTGACTATATACTTCCATAAGACGCTCTATTTTTTGAGCTTCACCAGGCATACGAAAATATGCTTGAAATTTACGTAATGCCACATCAACTTGCATTCCTGAAAGGTCTAACTCCATTGCAAAACAATTCAAAACGGCCATGTTAAATTGATTTTGTAAATTGCCTAAATATTCACCAATCATTTGACGAGAAAGCCCTTTACGAGAAATTAAAAATCTTGCTACACCTTGAGGTGTGTTTTCTAAAAATCCTCTTCGAATCAGGTAAGTTATTCCTTTTTCAGGCTTCTTATTAAACAGATTTAAGCCAACCCGGTATTGTCGTTTCCTTATTGTCTCTGAGACTTTATAGTTTTGGGTTGTTGCAGGGGTACCGAGCTGATGATCCTGTTGTTCGTGTTGTTCATATTGTGCAGCGCTTGTATGAGATGAAATTGCATGATCATCCGTAGTCGCATTTACGCTACCTCCTGAGGCCACTGTTAAAACTGAAGCATTGTGGACTTGTGCATATGATACGTCCGTTATATGGCCAAATTGTTGCGAACTATTTATCATTGCTCCTCGTTTCCAAACATGAGGTGAGTTAGACCGATCTGAGCCAAGGTCACTGTTTGCAATTCGCTCAGCAGATGTGACACTTGAATCACTTCCCGAACTTTGAACTGAAGTAAGACTTCCATTCTCAGCCGTTTTACAAAGGCCATTTGAACGAATTAGAGATGGTGGAGGAGGTGTTTGACGCATAACTAATAATTGCTGGTGTTGCTGTTGTTGTGCTGCTAAGTGCTGAGCTTGCTGTTGTTGTGCTGTAATTGATGAAGTTCGTTTTGGAACTTCAGGAGGTATTTTTTTTCGTTCTGAAGACGTAAGTGATCCTTTAGGACGCATATATATTTGCGCTGCAGAATAATATGGAGTATGTGGTGAGGCACTCACCCAAGAAATGTTCAGAGATGAATCCATCTGAGAGCTATTCGCAGAGCTTGCGAAACTTGTATCATGAGTTAAACCCTGATAACCTGTATAATAAGGAGTTGTTTGTGCTCCTGATATATGATGCCCACTATAAAAATGGGGCTCGGCAGCATGTAAAAGGTTAACATGAGGGTGAGTCCCACCTGAACTCAATACCGTTGAGGGTCCTGAGGAAGCACTGGCCACTGAAACTGATGACGCACCTAAACATAATAATAATAAATTATTAAAAAAAATAAGATAGCTTTAAATATTTCATGTTTACCTGATTGACTACGTGGTATTGGGCTACTATCTATTTGACGTCGTTCGCGCATAGATAATGAACGTGTTGGAGGTGCACGAGCTAAAGGTGTATTCGAAGCCAAACCTATTGGCGGACCAGCCATTATGGTAACGCGTGGTTGTGATTGTTGCTGTTGCTGCTGTATCTGTTGTAGTTGACTTTGTGATGTTTGGGATACATCTAACTGAGATTCTGTGGCACTTCCGTATGCTGAAGATAAAGATGAATTTGAGGTTGGTCCGTCATCACCAGTAGCTATTATCATGCGACGACTTAAACGTTTTTCCGCTTTGGCCATTGCAGTAATCGAGGCGAATTTCTTCACCATCATATAATGTCTAAACGCTCGCTGAATTGTAATTGCTGCGTTTCGAGCACGTATACCACCGTATTTACGTTCTAACAACTCAATTTGTTTCTCCAGTAAATCTTGAGAGAGTTCATACCTACAAATATTTTAATTATATGAAATCCATTTATTGAACACAACAGCTGTTTGCTTAATAGTCTTAAATTTTTGTTTACTTAATTTTCGTAAGAATCACTGCACAGAATGCAGGAGATCTTTTCTTAAATTTTAATAAGGAGGTTCTTTTAGCAATTCTCTGCTCAAAATAAGTGAATAAATTTTGCAAAAATTGTTATTTTTACCAACGTAAGCAGAATTTCCCTGATAAGATAGCGCTATCATTAAGCGTTGTAAGTTAACATTTCTTTGATAAATAATCAAATAAAAACATGATAGGCAATTTTTATGACTTTAACAGGGTAGGTAGGTTAGATTAATAGGATTTAATATTATAAGTGAAATGCTGATTCCAAAAAATTCTAGTTTTTGCTTTTATATATTTCGCATTATTATGAATGAAGGATAGATTAGGATTGTCAAAATGGTTGCTGTACAAAGTCAAGAAAATGTCACAAACTAAAACTATATAAGCCAAGTATTCCTCAAAAGCATAATGGTTAGAATTGATCTTGCTATGTTATATACGTCTGTCTTTTCGAGTATTTGTGAATCGATAGTTTAGTTTAATTATTAACTAGTCAAATGGAGTGGCCAATTCGGCACTGCTAACGCTATAGGCCAAATTGCTACGGTATCTGCAATTTGCTATTGAAACACAAGTTATTTTCACAATATAATATATTGTCAAGAATTCAAATTAATTGAGTAGCTATAGTGATTTCGAATACATTATTCTACCAGGTGATGTGTTGGCTTAATAGGAATTTGACATGAAAATATAAAGTTTAGAAAATCAAGTTACTTAATAGAGTTCTTAATTTTGGTGTTATTGAAAATTTATGGACTATCCGCCGCTACTGCGGAAATTTATGGACTATCCTTAAGGAACGAAGGAGATACGTAAATCATTTAATAATTTATGTCATATCATATGACATCTACAGAGCTGTAGATGTCTACCTACCAGTTCATACCAGTTTTAATTGAAAATTTTATGAAATTGTAAATTTTGACAATTTTATGTAGAGATTACAAAAAAAGTAGCCAACAGAATATATTGTATATATATATAATCCTCAATATATATCTTGAGGATTAAGATGATTTGTTGACAATTAAGTCATCATTGAATATATTATAATACAACAAACATAACGTTATTTTATTAAATAACAAAATTTAATTTAAATACATCAAAAATACAAGAATTTTTATAATATAACTTCTGATTAGTGGAATATCCATTGGACTTTCACTTTTTGTAACAAATTGCAATCTGAACCATCCTTTTGTGATCAAAACTATCATTTCATTTAATATTGTAGGTGTGGGGTATAGAATATCAATTTCTAAATACATTGATAAATCAAACTGATGAACAAACTAGGAGAACTAAATGGATATATACTTGTACTTTTTTGAATATCGGATGCCTGTTTTTTTGACATAATAACTTTTTGTAAACTTAATACGAAGCTTATAAAACAAAAGAACTGTGACATATATATTAAAAATTTTAAAATAATTTAATTGTTGTAACTAAAATAGAAATAATTTTAATCTTCTCATATTATGTTTTTAAATAAATATATAAACAGTTTATGTGTTTTTAATATATGTATATATCATATGTATAATATTTAGTTTAAATTTATAAATCTTAAGCAAAATAAAGTTTATTTTACTTACGCCGTTTGTGCTCGAGAACGTTTTAAAACATCGCCACCATTTCTTATCGAATTTTTTTTGTGCAAATTTTGTTGGATGGTTTGTGTTTGACCATTACCACCAAATCCCGTGCCAATGCTACTGCCAGCAATAACAACAGCTCCACCATGATGATGATGATGGCCATGTATAAGGTGATGATGATGATGTTGATGCCCATATTGTATAGCTGCAAAAAAAAATTGATCAATATGTTTAATATCAACGTATATGGATGGATATATTTACCAGAAGACATACTGTTTGGTTGGTGAATTAATTGCTGTTGATGGCACGTTGGATATTGCTGGGATTGTTGCTGCGGATACATCATATGTGGTTGCTGACCAACTGGATAGTTGATAGCGGTGGAAGAATTTGATAATGTTGAGGGAGAATAGTGCTGTTGTAAATATACATAACCACCACTTTCCGTTGACAGTGTAGAACCGGAGGAAGTTGAGCCCGTTGGTACCGTAATTCCATATTGAATGGATCCACTTCTCTCAATTGGCTTTTGAGGAAAACTGAAATTATACATAAAAGATGAAATAAGTAAGGTTTATAGTATCTTAAATACAATTATTAATTATTAATTTTAATTATAGATACAAATTTAATTATATAATTCAACAATAATTTTAATGCACACGCAGTAAGGTTCATTATGTTTCAAAGCTCGTTTGATCATTATTCGATCGAACAATTATATAAAAAATTATTATTTATGTGTTTTTTAGTCGTAGAAAAATATAGTTATTGGTATAGGTACGTGTATATAAGATTCTTCATATGAGTAAGTATTACTAAATTCATTTTTATTATCAAATGACTTGTAATAAGCATGTGTCCGAATTATATGGTATGAAACACATGATTGTCTTAACTCGATATTCGACTTACAACAGAAATCACCAATTAAGTCATGAATGTGGCGTCAAATGTTAAACCAAAAGTGATGACATGAGCATCTATCTATCGAAAATATCTTCCTATCTTTTTATCATTGTTGCAAAAGGATATATGAAAATTGCATATATAAGACACGACATTTACTAGAGTAGAAAAAAATGACATAATTGATCGTATACGGATTATCAAGAGATACTGTATATATTATATTTAAAAATATTGTTTAATATCCAATGGATATTTAAATTGTTTATAAGTCATAGTTAATCAATTGTAAGACTTTATAAACATTTTATGGATAAACTGACAAAAATCTCTGCTTCAAATACTTGCTTAAAAAATTACATAGACAATGGTAACGTCTCCGATGTGTCCTTTAGTAGTTATAAATACCTTCACAACTCAATAAACAGTTTATTCACAAAAGTTTAAGTAATATATGTATGTAACATAGTTTACATACTACATACTATACCAATAGGACTAGTGCAAGTAGATATATAATATTTAAATATATAATATGCAGAATAAAAATGTTCTTATTTTTAAAAATTTTTATTATTCACTAAACTTATTTTCGTATTATTCTTTAATATTTTTTTGATATAAAATCATCTTATAATCTTTGTAGAAAAATCAATAATTGGTTTTGATGATCTCCGGATAGTTATATTCCACTTCGCTTTAATAGCTAAGAGCTATCACTCACTCTAATGAAGGCAAATAATACTGGAACGCAATAAGTCCAGATTCTAATAATTATAATTATAAATATAAAACGTTTATTTTAGATAATTAACAATATTTTTATGAAACCGTGTACCTTTCACCAAAAATAAAGCCTGAGATACAAATAATCATTTCAATCTGTTCGATTTCCGTTCTTAAGTTAAAAACTTAAATTAAATATTTTAATCACATTGAATGCACTGGAGTTTTTTTTTTTTTAATTTGAAATCACAAGTAATTTTATTGCCTAAATCGTTACATGCATTATTTCAGCGGTCGATTGTCACGTTAGCATCGCAGCAGACTAAAGTTAACTGAAATGAGCCACTCATTTTCGGCACGGAAATACGGCACACTTCGTTTTATGTAAAGAAACGATGGCGACGAATTGGTAGTAGTCCCACGCACGACGGCCGCAGAACTTCTTTAGTAATGGAACTACCCCTAACAGATGGAAGTACGGCAGCAACTGCATTGCAATACGTTTTTATGTTGAAAAAAATCTGAAATGTTGTTAGGCCTTACAGTCGGTCTTATTGACTTCTTTCTTTGGTAATTCAGCATTCTTATCGTTTATTTGAATATTTGATGCCAAAAACTTATAATAAAACACAACATGATTTACATTTATTATAACCGATTTTATATCACAATGTTTATTTAATATTTATTTAAATATTTAAATATTATTATTTATTATTATTTATATTTTAATGTTTAATTTAAATCTTCATTTGTCTGGCTATTAAATGAGTTTATTATTCAACATTAGAAAAAACTATTAATTATCTCTTTGGCTTATTTTCCGACAATAAAAAAATATTTATATAGAGAATTATATAAAAATAAAAACTAATTTACATTTTTTTATTTTATTTATTTATAGAAACATTTAAAAAAGTGAACTAACAATTACTCTAAATAAAAAAAAATTATGTATTTTTAAAACAAAGTTTTTGAAGATGGGATCAGTGCTAAACCTTCTAGGTATTGGAACTGCTTTCAAACCGTTTTCTATATCGTCATAAAAGATGGCAAGTAATTGCATTGCAGATATATTGTAGTATTCAACAAAAATTTTCATATGATAAGTTTTTTTTAACATTATTCTTTTACTTGAAATTATTTAATTATTGCTCATATTTTTATTTTGTTTATAAAAGTTTTTAGATCCCTGATTTTTATGTTATATGTGCAAATTTTATCATTTTAGAGGAACCAAATGAAGGCCACTTTTGAGTTATCTTGGTAAACTTGAATTTGTTAAATGAACAAACTAACTAAGTAACTAAATTTGAGATATAAGACATCATATTCCACTTGATATTATTAAACAGATTTCTAGCAAGATTTACAATTTTGGGTAAAGTATGCGAGAAATGATGTGATCTACAACCAAAAATCGCTACACATTTTTTGCATACATGAATCCCACATCACCAAAGGATAAGGAAAGCAAGAGAATAACAAAATGCACCTGGCATACTTTTCAAGGCAGGTAATATCTGATCTGGTATATGTGCGAGTATTTCGAAGCTATTGTTTTTGTTTTTATTTTCTTTTTACTAAAACATAAAGAAATCATAATCAACCTTACACTCAGTTAGTGTTATTATTGTAGGATCCTTTTTTTTTGTAAAAGTATCATATGAAAATAAAACATCTGCTGCTTAAGTTCTTTTTTTTGAATTTACTTTAGCTATAATACACGTATGTATGTACGTATAGATGACATACAATAATGCGTACAGTTTACTTAGTGGAGCAGAAATGTATAAAACTACATACATTTAAAGATTACTTATTGAGAAATAGTATTTTTAGAAAAAATATAGAGTTTATAGTTTAGAAATTGCTACTAGAATCCTATTAATATTCAACAAGTGTTCGGAGAGTAGACATTATTACTAATTTCGTGCCGACAAATTGTACGTTTAGTGATTGGGAGCACGTATAATTACTTCAAATAAACTATCATTAATAAATAAATTATTTATTATTTCATATACACTTCTATAGAGATATAAATACAATATATAATTCAATTTGTTAAGTAATTTTCCATTAAAAAATACTTTGTCCTTTTCTATGTCAAATACGTAGTTGTTTCTCTTTGAATGTCGACACAATATTTCGAATAAATTTAATAAAACTATTTTTAACTATTTTTAAATAAATAATTAACCATGTAGATTGTGATTCTTTACTCTCTATTAGGAGTTCCTCTTCATCTTTGATCTTTTACATACTCATTGGTATGGATAGACGGACAGTGCATTCATTTTAATTTTGTACGACCTTTATATTGCATTTCTGATCATTGGGCCCCCATTCTCCATTTTGGGGATGATTTTCATCAGCTCTAATAACACGACTTACTTATCTTAACTTAATTGATTTTGTGATTTCCAATAAATTTAGGTGTTAATACATAATTTCGAATTCAAGGTTCTACAGTTGCGTCCAATTTTTCTTGTCTAAAATTTAAGAATCATTGTTTCGATTGATAATCACCACGTGTTTAACTCTGTGACTACGCATTTAGCTAGACTTAGGATAAATTTTTATATTTAAATCTAAATATATACCTATATATTTTTTTGAAATTTCGTTTGTTAACAACTACTTGTATGTTTTAGTGAAAAAGTGAGTGCATAGATATTATTGATACTAGATATTAAAAGTTGTTAACTTCTTTGAAATTAGAGTTTCCATAGCTAATGTGTGTCTAATTCTTTTAAGACAGTTTATTTACTTGATGTACGCACTTACTTCCCATTATTTCTATGCTATACAATGTAATATAGTATTATAGAAGTAACATTTCGTGCTGATACTAGATATATCAACTCAAAAATTTAGAAAAATTCGTACAGATCTTTCATGATAATAGACTAATAATATTTTAGCCAAGACAACATTTCTACATATCATCCTATACAACTACTTATAGGATGATATGCAGTACTACAGAAGTTTACATGCAGTTACTTTCAAAATGCAATATCACGCGAATCTGAAGTGATTTATATATTAAATGGATTATCTATTCTATATAGAATGAGAAAATGTGTCTTAATTTGTAGATAAATCGGATGGTTCTTTTATCAATGTCAACTATAGAAATACAGGTATCATTGTTATTCTCTAACATTTAATTACAAATAAATATAAGTATATGCAAACTTATAATAATGTAAATTGAGAACATCTAAGATCTAAATCTAAATATTTATTCAAGACCATAATTTTACGATTTATACACTTAAAATTAAGTTTAAATACTAATATTGACAAAACTATCTCTGACAATCTGTCGGGTTATTTTTTTCTTAAATGGGTGTTGTTTATTCTAATTTTATTACATTAAAAATAAATAGTTCTGATTTGATTTATTTTTTAATTGAATTCAGTGAAAAACTGATATTTTTCTGATGTCTTTATTATATTGATTTAGTTCTCTTTGCAGTTAGACTTTTTTAAACGGATACTATTTGAAATATATAGCATTTGTGTCTATTACATATATACATAAAATAAACGAACAACTAGTATGTGTTTTTACACAAATATAAATAAATAGAAAATATTGCTTATACGAGGGCTGCCTTTTAAGTTTTGTGTCTAACAATCAGTAAAAACAGTTTTATTTTTTTTAAGTATTCTGTATGATGATAAATCCATTTTTGCATTCGATTGAACCAATTTTCGAAACAGTTGGTATCTATAAGTTTTCAATCCAATTCTCAATTCTCCCAAGACTTCAGAATTGACGGTTCTACGTTGTTCAAGGGGTACAGTTGCGACATGACTGGGTTTTCTGAGACCTAAATAGTGAATTGCTAGTTTGTTTCGAGCTCATAAATGTAGATCCATGATTTGTCAC